TTTGTGAAAGGACTTTATTATTTTCTAAAATTTACCTTTAGGTTTCTTATAAAGAAAAAAATATTAGAAATATGAAATCTAACCTTTGTAAATTTTAAAAATGAACTACAACCCTAGAATCTGAATATGGCATATATTTTTTGTTATCTACCAGAAATAAGAAAAGCTTATCAATTAACATTTTTTGACTATATGTAATAGTCCTTGTAAGAATATTGGTTTTAAAATACAGGAGATTTCGAAAGTCGCCACACATGGGGTAAATGGGCAATTATAGCTAAATGTACCTTTATTTACAAAATATATGTGACAAAATTTTACAAGTTTTTTACAAAATATTCTCTGTATTGGCCACCTCTTTCTATACACACGTGAAGTCTTCTCTCCCACTTGCAGCAAACACATCCCAAGATACCTATCGTGATGCAGGTTTAGAATTTTTTTCCCCTGTGTATGGAGATGTGGGGGACATCCTGTATTATTAGTATTAAAATATAATAAATTGAACAAAGTGTCTTCACAGTATAGTGAAATGATACTGAAGTCCTCGGGAAAACAATGTGATCAAGTTTCACCTGAGGAAAGGTGTTAGGCAGACAGCCCAGAGTTGGTAAAGAAAGCTCCAAAGTGCCACCATCCGTACTTGAGAATACGTAGGCGTGGTTTGCTGTGCAGTCATTTGTGTCTATGTGGGCATTTCTCAAATACCGGAAGTAGTGTGTGTGCCCAGGTCATCTGAATAAGCTTCCTGGCATCCTCGTTCATCTGTGCGTTTGTTTTGCTGCCCTCATCTTGGTTGAGCACTGAGCAAAGCACTAAGGAGACATAACAAGGTCACTGACCTCAGAGAGCTCAAAGAATCATAATCATTGTGTATGGGACAGAATAACAGAAAAAGAAAGAGATGGGCAGGAAAGCCCTCACAAGATGTCAGACACTCACCAGGCACAGGCAGAGGGGCAGATCATGACACGTTCAGAACTGTAGGTGTGTCAGGGGTCTCTAAATGGAGGGAGGAAAGATGCTAATTTAGTTTCTATTTCCACTTTAATCTCTTCCTTAATTTTGATTATTTTTGTTTATAATATCTGATGTCCTAGAATAGTACTGCATATAAATTATACATTGGTAAACATATATTGGAGAACATATACTCAAAAGATATTTATTCATGAGGTGTCTAATCAAAAGTGAAGCAGCACTTGCTGTAGACAGAACATCGTGGAACCTGAGTGGGTCTGTGGCAATGAGAGGGAGGAGCCGGATGGCTGTGAAGCTGGAAGTCACAGGGAGAGGAGATAAGGGTCACTCAGCCAGCTGAGGAATAGCAAGGAAGGAGGTAGCAGAGGCCCACAGAGAACATGTGTTGAATCAGGGTTTTGTGACACAGCCTGTCAGTGCCCTGCGGTTGGCAGCAGGGAACTACTGCAGAGGCATCAGAAAGTGACATCACTGTGTGTATAGCTGGGGAGAGCACGTGGGGTGAGCATTCAAGGGGTGGCGTGGTTCCTGGAGACAAAGAAACGAAAGGTCAGAGAGATAGGAAGAAAGGCCAGAAATCCTTGGAGAAGCCAGGAGACATCCAAAGGGAGGCAGTGGCAGAGGCACAAGTGTGATTGGCAAGAGGCACAGGTGCCCAAGGAGGCGGGAAACGTGATTGCACAAGGTCAGCTCACACTGCCCGGCCCATCTCAATAAACATAAAATTAAGACTGAGCGAACTTTGCGATCATGATTTTGTCTGGTGTAAAATGGCAACCACGTAACTGATTTTGTGCACATGTCACTCTTAACTGCTGTTTCTGCTTTTCTAGGACGCTGATTACTGGCATGGCCTCTGGTAGCATCGTAGCTTTTAATATAGATTTTAATCGGTGGCATTATGAGCACCAGAACAGATACTAAAGGGAAAGGAAGAGCCAAAAGCCAAGTTCAAGCTGAGAGCACAAGTGCTGCATGGGAAGGCAATGTCTCTGGCGGAAAGACCTGTCCACATCGACCTACGTTTGTACATTCCATCACACCCAGCAATAGCTGTACATTGTAGTCAGCAACCATTTTACTTTGTGTGTTTTTTCACGACTGAACACCAGCTGCTATCAAGCAAGCTTATATCATGTAAATTATATGAATTAGGAGATGTTTTGGTAATTATTTCATATATTGTTGTTTATTGAGAAAAGGTTGTGGGAAGTGTCACAAGAGACTTTTGACAATTCTGAAGAACCTTGTGTCCAGTTGTTACAAAGTTTAAGCTTTGAACCTAACCTGCATCCCATTTCCAGCCTCTTTTCAAGCTGAGAAAAAAAAAAAAAAACACGTTTGATACTTTGTACATCAGATGCATCTTATTTAAAAGGGATACTTTTGTAAAAGTAAAACCTTGTATAAAGAACAAAATGTTTCTTAATTTTATTGTGGAGTTACAACTTGCATGTTCTTTACTCCTGATGTCTTGATGGAACAGGTGCATTCACACTGGGAAACAGAAAGATCTGTGCAAGGACACAGCTCATACGAAAGGGTGGAATTGGGGCTCAATCAGTAATTTTTGACATTTTCACCAAAATATGGTTTGCACTTTTTAATCTAAATTCATCCCTTCTTAGTGAAATTTGCCCATGAAGCATTTGGATACTAAGCCATTATTTACCATTTGGAGTACTTTATACAAAGAAAATTCAGCCCTACCCTTCATAATTTGAAGACACAGCAGAAAGGGGGCTTAGGGATGAGGTCCTGGGTTTTGCTGTATAAATAGGAGTCATGATCGTTAGTTCCACAGTAATGACTTTCCAACACCTGGACATCATCTCTTCCAGAGTCATCCCACTGGCTTTGTGTGTATACAGTAGGGGAGGCGATTCTGATGCTAACTTTTTTTTTCCTCTTTGGTTCTTGAATAGCTTAGTTTCTTTAATAATAAGTCGGACTTTATTACAACAATAACTGAAGTTATTCTTTTAGGTTCTTGTGAAATTCTCACCTGAAGCCACATTCTTAGCCTACGGCATTTCATCTTTTACAATATAAAATGATGGCTATCCAATGATTTTTCCATACATTGTACTAATCAAGTTATACACCCAGGGGTATATACACTTTCTTCATGTTTCTTCTTTGTATATTTGGTGACCGTATTGTCATAGATGTACATATTGTGTCGGTAGGGCTATGAGGCATGTTACAGGAATGTAATTTTCTCAGAATTTACACTCACTTGCAGTCATTTATTTAAAAAGATAAAACAAGATAATGGGTTATTTGTATCGGCACTTTGCACCAGAAACATATCATTATTTATTGATGTGATTACTTATTTGTTATCCACCTTGTACTAGTAAGTTTTAGCACTGAATTCCTTCTTCATCGTTGTTTGTATTTATGAAATTCTGAAATTACGGGGAATCAGCGTAATGATTAAATTATTCATCACCAGGCTGTAAGCAATATCTTGAGTTTGTAGCTTAGAATTTGGGAGGTTCTGAACATCTGGAAGACAAGTTCATGTCATCTTGAGATCATGGTGAAATATTTTGGATATATAAATTCCTTAAGCTATTGTAACCATGTTTTATTGCAAAGATGTAAAATATGCCAGATGTGTGTGAGTTGGAAATCAAAAAAAGAAAAATAAAATATGCAAAGAATTCACTGATGGTTTGACATTTCATTGAGCACTTCACTGACACATAGTCATTATGTTGTCCTACAAGTTTAAGAGGTCATTGTCACCTGGTGAAAGGCCTTGCAGCATCTCAGAACTCAGAATCCACTCCTAGCAGGGTTTTCTAACTGGCTGAAACAGGAGCTGTTCTGCCCGAGCATCTGGCAGGGATTTGGGGCAACAGTGACCAGAGGGAAACAGCCCTTGTTTTTTCTGCATGATCCACTTTTGGGGTCAGCTTTATTTTATTTAAACTAAATAGTGAAGGATACAATAGGTGCTTCTTTGAGCATTACTAAATAATGCTATTTTCATTGTGAAGTATAACTTCTGGAATTCATCATGAACTAGAGGTGACACAGGCAGAGACTGAGGACCAGGAAGACGTGAGCAGCTGCTGGTGAGGGGCTGTCAGGGGGCTAAGAGGGCCTGTGTCTCATAAGTCCGTGTGGGTGGTGGAGTGGGTGGCAGCCCAAACATCCCCAGCACATGACAGAACTGCATGGAACACTGCCAGGTACACTCCAGGGCCAAAGGGACAGCTGGCAGTAGCCTGGGAAAGACAGCTATTCTCACCTCTATCACATCTCCAGACAGAAAGCCAGCAGTGACCACACCTCTGCTGGCTCTGCGGCCCAGCCCTTCCAACAGCCCATCAGTCACTCGAGCAGGCTGACCACCACCCACTAAAGAGTCTTCTGAAACCACCCTGCCCTTCCCAGCACCATCACCTGGGCTATCCAGAAACCTCCTGGCCTCTGCCATACCCCCATCCACACTCTGCCCTGTAGCCAGAGGCTCTGGTGGTGCCACCCTGCAGTCACCTGTGCCCAGCACCTTGCAAAGCCAATGCCAATGGCTTAAGAATGGTATTCTCACACTCTGGTGGAAGGGAAAACACCCAGGGAGCAGCTTCTTAAATACAGACTCTAGAGTCCCACTTTCCCAGGTGATCTGATATGGCTGAACCTTGGGCACATTTTCAACGTCACCAATTTGAGGGCTAAAGTCCAAACTGAGCAGTGTATGGAAGAACTTCAGAAAGGTGACCAATCCCCAGGCAAAGCCACCTGTTTGCAAGTCCCTGAGAACTTCCCTGCTCCTGGGTCCTGGTGTCTCTCTGCCCAGGTGGCACCTCTCTGCCAGTACCATCTGGTTTCATGTTGCAAACTGACCAAACCCTAAGGCACTCAGTCACTCTCAGTGTTTTTTGCACGCAGGTAAAGGTGGCTCCCAGCCCCCACATCTTCACTATGTTATTATGAGATACATTTTTTATCAAAGACGTTTTAGCAAGTAGGCACAAGAGCACTCATACAATTGAGTTTGGCAAAGTCCAAGACTTGACTTTACTGGTGATCTGGCAGTCGTTTTACAATAAAGGACTCAAAGCAAATGCACTCATATCCTAGAAGCCAAATCCCGTGTGCTTGCTTCATGATGGCAGCAGCAGCCAGAATCCTCCAGCCCCATCACAGACAGGCCCAGAGCATACAGGCTACTGTCCTCAGTATGTCATGGACCCTGATGATGGAGAGGTGCGAAAGTTCTCTCAAATACTTCAGCCACTGTATATTAAATTCATACCTATATTTAACACCCTGATTTCACTGACAAAAGACCATCTTTATCATCCATAATACTAATTAAGAAGCCAGTCATTTCCCCACTGAAACACCCTTCCTAGCATTGACTATGGTAACAAAGCTTCTGGTTTCCTTTGGGATTAGGAACCCTAAGCTCCAATCCTTTACTCTGGAACAAGACCTTTCTGGTTAAGTGATCTGGAGGGTAAATGTCTGATCAGAGCACCCGACTGTCCCTGGAATGCAGTACAAATTGACACATCACCTGTCTCTAGTATATGTTTTAAAATGAATTACAGCATCATAACACCCCTGCTTATTCTTACAGACTCAGCTCACACGCTCTCTCCTCTGAGAAGCCTTCCCCAACCCTGGGCCATGTGCATTGTCATGACTTGTTCTTCTTGTGGGGGATGGGCTGTGAGGTGGCAGGGCCCCCGCAGCCTGGGGAGGCATTCAGGGAACAACCTCCCACCACCACCACCACCCCACCCTGGGCTGCTGCTCCTCCTTTAACATCAAACATCCTTTTCACCTGCCACAAGTCATGTGGAAGCACACAGCTTCTCCTCCTTAAAATTTATCTTTACCTCAGGTGTAAAGATGTACCTTGTTAAAGAGACTTTATAAATAAAGGTGTTTCCACAGTTTGGTGCTAGCTGAAGTCATCAGCCCTCCTGGCCCCATCCTGTCCCCATCCTGTCCTTTGTCTTTCTTTCTCATTTCCCACCATTCCCACACAGTTTATCTCTCCTTCTCCACACTGGTTCATGAAAGGTGGCACCCAACCAGGGACCTGAGTACAGGAAGGTGAGTACAAATCCTTATTCCCCACCATTCCCCCTCTCTGGTTTGAATAGGGACCAGGGTATGGGAAAGTGAAGCTAAGCAGGTGAGGAAATCCCCAGGAGAAGAAAAAAGGAAAACTGCAGAGTTGGTAAGTGTTTTTCAGGAGCAATCATAGCCAGGAGTAATCAATTAAAGGCTAGGCAGGCTCAAAGGACCAACAACTTCTTAGAGATTGACAGAGCACAAAGTGCGAGTGGGAAGCCAGAGTCCCCTGCAGAGTGTTGCTCTAGAGACAGAAGGAGACAGTGC